GCCAAGTGGACTGATACAGAGCCATGTTAGATGACACAACACCTCTGTACCGTGCGGTCCAAAAATATATGAACGGTTTAAGGGTACCAATGGTTGGCTGGGTACATTTTTTTTTTAGCGGTGATACGGGATGCTGAAGGAAAGTTTCAGCTACACAATTTAAATTCATTCCCTATGTAGCTGATGTGATTAACGCGGAGACAATGACAATGCGTGATGAACTGGCGTTTGCTAACTCCTTAGATATGCCTCGGGTAGAAGGGGAATCGGACTCTGACTATCATTGATGAGTGTATGGGACACACAACAGGGTGGAATACAAATTCAATAATTTTCGCAGAATGTATGAATATTTCTTCTTCAATTAGAAATGTTGAATTTAGACATTGCTATCGTTCATGTAATGAAGCGACGTACGTGCTAGCTAACAACTCTTGTATTATAAGATTACTTGTAATACAAGATTACTTGTAGTTAGAAGGGCCAGCCTCCCGACTGTCTTGCCTTCAAACTGGTGGATGATATAATTCCTATTTAAATCAATAAAGTTTGTTATGATGGCCTTTTTCTTAAAAAAGTGTACTTCTCTCCGTTCTATAATGTAAAAAGTTTTTTAAACTATGTTAGCTTGCAGAAACGCCTTACATTATGGCATGAAGAAAGTAGTACATATCTATGGTAGGTGCTACCGAGAGTAGATTTCTTGCTCCCCAGCTCTGTTTTTGAAAATCCAAAAATCATACTTTAAAATTTCAAAAGAATCTGAAATATACACCTGAAAAATGAGATGTAAACTATATTTCTTTAAAGTTTTAGGATTAAGTACATTGTGGTGTGAGCTGTATAAAAGAAAATCATAGACTTTTACAGCAAATAGTACCTGTGCTAGAAAGATATGATTTTTTTAAGCTTGAACCACAAAGTATTTCTTCATGAAAATTTAAGGGGCGTGGCACATATCCCTACGTTCTTGTGTACGGCGGAGCAGGTAGCAGCGGTACGGCCACACAGACCGGAGGGTGAGGGCGGCGGGAGGAGGAGCGGCGCCGGTTGCACTATACGGAGCAGCGGGCCTACCGGTGCTAGGATTGGATTTTTTCTTTGAGAGAGAGGCTAGAATTGGAAATGAATGATCGAGAAATGAGAAGAGGGGAAGCAATTAATTAACGAGCGCTCCTTCGGGAGCCTCGCAACGATCAGCGCCATTTGGCGCGCTCACAGCCATTCGCCACGTGTCGTGCTCTGGGCACTCCCATTCGATTTTGTTTTTTATTTTTACGCACGCGTTTTCGGCTTTTTATAAGGTTTTTTTTTGGTTTTTTTGACGTTTTGGTCTCCTACCGGTCTACCCTAGCTTTTCGACCAAAAAAAATTTTCGAAAAAAAAAATATTTTGCGCAAAAAATGCCTTTTTTCGTGAGAGGCACGGTTTTGCTTCCGCCAGACGCACGGTTGTGCTTTCGCGAGAGGCACGGGCGTGCCTCTTTCAGAAAGGAAAAAAACACGTTTTTTGTTTTTTTTTCTTCTTTCGCGAGAGGCACGGTTTTGCTTTCGCCAGAGGCACGGTTGTGCTTTCGCGAGAGGCACGGGCGTGCCTCTTTCGGAAAGAAAAAAAAACGTGTTTTTTCTTTTTTTTCTTTCGCGAGAGGCATGGTTTTGCTTCCGCCAGAGGCACGGTTGTGCTTTCGCGAGAGGCACGGGCGTGCCTCTTTCGGAAAGGGAGAAAACACGTTTTTTGTTTTTTTTTCTTTCGCGAGAGGCACGGTTTTGCTTCTGCCAGAGGCACGGTTGTGCTTTCGCGAGAGGCACGGGCATGCCTCTTTCGGAAAAGGAAAAAAAACGTGTTTTTGTTTTTTTTCTTTCGCGAGAGGCACGATTTTGCTTCCGCCAGAGGCACGGTTGTACTTTCGTCAAAGGCACGGGCGTGCCTCTTTCGGAAAGGGGAAAAAACCCGTGTTTCCGGTTCGGTTTTTTCGTCCGTTTTTTTCGTGAAGAAAAGTTCATCAAAATCTGTTAACATGGGATCTAGTTTTGAAGATCTCAACGCGAGGAATGCAATGGCGAAAGCGGTTCGAGATTTGGACGCACGGTTTAAGAGATAAAATATTTTAAATAAACGGATCTAAGAAAAAGGGAAAACTCTGCGATTGCGACAGGTGGCGCACATGCAACGCGCCACTTGTCGCAATATGGGAAAGTTGGAGTGATCTCCGCAAAGAGTATTCCTTAATTAGTGATTTTGGAGAAGAGGAACGAAATATACTTCGATTTCGATTTGTAGCGGGACGAGTAGTAAAATAACTGGGCCTTTAAATTCTGGTACGGAGCGGCCCAATCCATCAACTCTTTCTTCTCCCTAAAAAGAAAAAAAAACTCGTGCCCACCCTTCGACCCAGAAAGAAACGCAGCGCCGCCGCCGGCATCAACCGCTCGCGTTGCTGCCTGCTCGAACCTGGAGGAGGAACAATAGGTAAGGAGGAGGGGTGCTTGCTCCGCCGTCGGGGACACGGGGCGACCGCCCGAGCTCGCCCCAGTGCTAGATCCGCCACTGCCGCCATGAAACTGACCTGCGTGGCCACCCCCGGCAGCGGCGGCGGCTACCACTCGCCAGCGAGCCACTTACTGGAGGTGGAGGGCGTCCGCCTCCTCCTCGACTGCCCCGTCGACCTCTCGTCCCTCGCAGCATTCGCCCCGGTGCCACTCGGCCCGGACTCTGGTGACGCGGGAGACCTCATCCGCGCGGTGCCCCACTACTGGTCGCCGGCGGCGGCGGCCGCCGCCAAAGCAGGTGGCGTGGATGCCGTGCTCGTGTCTTCTGCCACGGGGATGCTTGGGCTTCCCTTCCTCACGCGGCTCCCAAGCTTCGCAAACACCAAGGTGACTCCCATCCCTGCCACTCTTTGGTGCATAGCACCCTAAATTTCAAACTCTACTTGTTTAGGCTGGAACTTGTGTTGAGAATTTGAAACTGTAGTTAACATGTTAGTGTATGATTTTGCCCTATTCAGATTATCTGAAAGAACAAGCTTGCTGAATGTGAAATCCAATAGTCTGAAGGACAGATGAGTTAGCTAATTGTCTTTTCTTTAGTTTGCGTATAATTAACTTCTGTAGGTTAGCACTGAGGTGTACAAAAATGGGGGGAAACAGGGGCAGAACAATTGGAGTTGATGTTCTATTTTAAGAAAATGATGAAGAAAAGTCCGCTCCTGTATGAATCCCAAGGCATGCTCACTGGCTTTTTGTTCTCGATTGCAGACAATTAACATCCTTAGGTCCCTTTACTACAAAGTGGAACTTAGGGACTGAAACGTCTGGGCATGTTTTTTTTCTTAAAGGTCGTATACAATTACCAAGGGATCGAAATATATTATATTGGCTGTAAAATCTTCTGTTAAACGAAACTTCACCTCCATAGGTAGGTGCTAGTGCATACAATGAAATATATAGCGCGATTGTTGACTGTATGAAACT